TATTTTTATATATGTACACACTTATATGACCTTCAGGTGAAGGTCTTCCCACAGTTACTGCTTTTATAAGGCTTCCTTCCAGTGTGAATATTGTGGGCCCTAGTGACCTGCATCTTCCAAGAAAAGGTAGGTCCTCATTGAGTACATTCACGTCTTCTCTTCATGAAGATTCCTTGATGCAACGGAAGAGATGATCTCTGGCTGCAGACCTTTGCGAATGAGTTCAGATAGGGGTTGTTCACAAGGTGAAATTTCTGATGCCTAACAAGCTCTATAATCCATCTGAATGTCTTTCCACACTCATTATGGGAATGTTTTCTATCTCATGTGAATTCTGATGGAAAATAAGGGATAACTTTAACCTCAAGACTTTTCATATTGTCTATATTAATGACATATGTCCTCTAGAATGGATTCTCTGACATTAAAGAAATGGATATTTCTCTCATATTACTAACCAATTATTGAATTAGAACTAAGCTTTCCCCCCTTTCTATTTCCTCATTCAGAAACCAGCCCCTCTAACTGATTCAGCCAGCCTTTGAAGGGCAGAGCCGATAATGAGATGAAATCTTGGGCAACACTTAGCCAACTGGTTAAGTTTAGATCTGACCAAAAGGTAAAGAAATTTTAGTCTAGGTGAATCCTGGATCAATCTGCTTTAGTCAGACAGGTCTGAGGGGAAGTGGATTCCCTCTTTTGAGCAGATCGCTTTAGGCAAGGGTGGTCTGGATAGAGTTAAGTCTCTTGGTCCATAATTGAGTGATGAGTAATATCCCCCAGCCCCTCATTAGAATAAGTCCACCTCTTGGTCAAAGGATATGAACAGGCAGTTCTCAGATGAAGAAATTAAAGCCATCTATAGTCATATGAAAAAATACTCTAAATCACTACTAATTAGAGAAATGCAAATCAAAACAACTCTGAGGCACCACACCACACTTATCAGATTGGCCAACATGACAAAACAGGAAAATGATAAATGTTGGAGAAGAGGTGGGAAAATTGGAACACTGATGCATTGTTGGTGGAGTTGTGAAATGACCCAACCATTTTGGAGAACAATTTGGAACTATGCTGAAAGGGCTGTAAAAATGTGCAGATCCTTTGATCCAGCAAGGGCACTTCTAGGGCTATATTCTAAAGAGATCATAGAAATGGGAAAAAGACCCACGTGTACAAAAATATTTATAGCAGCTCTTTTTGTGTTGGCAAAGAATTGGAAATTGAGAGGACACCCATTAATTAGGGAATTTTCTGAACAAGTTGTGGTATATGAATGTAATGGAATACTATTGTGCCATAAGAAATGATGAACAGGCTGATTTCAGAAAAACCTGGAGAGACTTGTATGGTCTGATGCTGAGTGAAATGAGCAGAACCAGGAGAAGGTTGTACACAGTAACAGCCAGATTCAGAGAAAGAACTATGGAGTTTGAATGCAGATAGAAGGATACTATTTGCTATTTTTTTTTCTTCTGTTGTGGTTACTTTCCTCTTTCTGGTGGTTGCTCCTACTGGTTCCAATTCTTACTTACAACATCGCTAATATGAAAATATGTTTAATAAGAATGTATATGTATACCTATATCAGATTGCATGCTGTCTGACTAAAGGGAGGGGAGGGGGAGAAAAATTTAAAACTCAAAAGCTTGTGGAAGTAATTGTTAATAATTCAGAATAAATTAATTTTAAAAAAAAGAATAAGTCCATCTCACATTATAATATTCACTCTCAATTTTTAATCACTCAGAGTTGATTTACACCACTTGGTAACACCCACTTTTCTAAGGGCATATAAGTGTTGATACGCCTCCATGATTCACCTATGGTTTACAAGAAATAGCTAAAATGATTATGCAGAAAATATGTCTCTTGGCCTTTTCTTTCATCAGATTTATATAATAAGATGAGAGTGTACATAAAAAAGTTTTATCACATTGGTTTTCTCTCAAGTATGGACTCTCTGATGTACAGCAAGATGGGAGTTTAGTCTGAAAGCCTTTCCACATTGGTTACATTCATAAGGTTTCTCCCCAGTGTGGATTCTCTGATGTGCAGCAAGAAATGAGCTCTTTGTGAAAGCCTTTCCACATTGATCACATTGATAAGGCTTCTCTCCAGTGTGAATTCTCTGGTGTGTAGCAAGTAAGGAATTTAGTCTGAAAGTCTTTCCACATCTATTACATTCATAAGGTTTCTCTCCAGTATGGATACTTTGATGTACAGCAAGTTGGGAGTTTAGTCTGAAAGCCTTTCCACAATGATTGCATTCATAGGGTTTCTCCCCAGTGTGGATGCTCCTATGTTGAACAAGTGTGTAGTTCTTTCTGAAAGCCTTTCCACACTGACTACATTCATAAGGTTTCTCTCCAGTGTGGATTCTCTGATGTGAAGCAAGTTGGCAGTTAAGCCTGAAAGCCTTTCCACATCGATTGCATTCATACGGTTTCTCTCCAGTGTGGATTCTCTGATGTGCAGAACGCTCAGAGGTACTTCTAAAAGCCTTTTCACAATGATTACATTCATATGGTTTCTCTCCAGTGTGGCTTCTCTGATGTGCAGCAAGAATTGACCTCTTTGTGAAAGCCTGTCCACATTGATCACATTGATAAGGTTTCTCTCCAGTGTGAATTCTCTGGTGTATAGCAAGGAAAGAATTTAGTCTGAAAGTCTTTCCACATCTGTTACATTCATAAGGTTTCTCTCCAGTGTGGATACTTTGATGTGCAGCAAATTGGGAGTTTAGTCTGAAAGCCTTTCCACAGTGATTGCATTCATATGGTTTCTCTCCAGTGTGGATTCTTTGATGTGCAGCAAGTTGGGAGTTTAGCCTGAAAGCCTTTCCACATCTATTACATTCACAAGGTTTCTCCCCAGTGTGGATTCTCTGATGTACAGCAAGCTCAGAGGTACTTCTAAAAGACTTTCCACACTGACTACATTCATAAGGTTTCTCTCCAGTGTGGATTCTCTGATGTACAGCAAGTTGGCAGTTTAGTCTGAAAGCCTTTCCACAATGATTGCATTCATAAGGTTTCTC